GAGAGTTGCTGGATCTGTTGCTATTCCTGTAATTCCAGTTAAGGATTTATGCACTTGGACCCATAAATAAACCACATTGAATGAAATGGGGCTTTCTCCCGAGTCAAGATATATTAGAATTGCTCTGTAGGTCATGGACAGGAGGTGAGCCTTCTTTTTTCTGTTACAGGTGTTCAAGATAAAAGCAGTGCAGCTAGCAGGGAAACTTCTTCCAGCCTTCAACACACCCACAGGAATTCCTTGGGCAATGGTGAATCTAAAAAGGTATGAGATTTAGAGGGAGGAACATATTGACAACCGTATGGTGCAGAACACTTATGTTTAGCTATTCCTGGTAGATTTGGATTGTTCAAGTTCTACTGAGATCTGTTATGTTTTGCATAAAGAGTCTATACACGGCAAACTGCCTGTCTGTTCAATCTGCTTCAGGTTATTTAAGCTACCTGCAGTATTCACATATGCGCATGATACTTTCCCTGTGAGTTCTTCCTTACTGCTTTTCCTTGATGTGGTTCAAATATGTATTTATCTTGCGTTTCTGTGATTTTTTCAAATTAATTCTTTCTTTCAACAGTGGCGTAGGTCGCAATTGGGGTTGGGCTTCTGCTGGCAGCAGCATCTTGTCAGAGTTTGGGACACTTCATATGGAATTTGTACATCTCAGCTACCTGACTGGCAACCCTGTCTACTATGAAAAGGTTAGCATTGTTCTCATGTTCTCTTGTGAAGCATCTGAAGCTTTCTTCTTGACATTGGCTATAGACAGCATGGAAATATCACACACAGGGTTACTTATATGACCATTTAAGGAATATTTAATGATAATTTTAAGAGTATTATGCTAAAATCCTGCTGCTCAGCATAGTAAGTTGCACTAAAGTAAGCCCATTGAAAAGTCAGGCTGGTGTGCTCTGGTCCATGGGGGTCACAGAGAGTCGTACACAACTTAATGACTAAACAACCACAACAAAGGCCCGTTGTATCAATGGAAAGTTGACTCACCAAATCTCCATGGATTCAATGGACCCACTGTAGGGCAACTTACTATGCTAAGCATCAGGATTTCATACAGTATCTGTAAGTGTAATTGATGGAAAGAATGTTGGCAAAAAAAGTAGGCAACATATTTAGCACTTTTAAGACTTAATGGTTGTATTTCAGTGAGATACACTCCTAATTTTTAAAGTGCTTGTGAAAGAGTCCCAGTCTTGGGCTGACCCCCTGTGCCTTCCTTGCCAATACAGTGGACCCTCTACTTACGGAATTAATCCGTATTGGAACGGTGGCTGCAGGTCGAAAAGTCTGTAGGCCGAGTCTCCATTGACCTACAATGCATTGAATACCGATTAATCCCATAACCGGCCGTTTTTGTACTTTTTGTTCCATTTTGGTTTTTTCCTGGTCTGTAGGTCGACTCTCCGGCTGCAAGTCGAATCTAAATTTTGCGGCCAGAGAAGTCTGTAACTCGAAAAGTCTGTAAGTCGAGCCGTCTGTAAGTCGAGGGTCCACTGTAGTTCCTTGGGGCAAGACCCGTAAGGCCACCCTGTCTCTGGAAGGTGGCCACGCCCACAACCCTGTCGGAGCTGCCCATGAAGGTGGAAGACCAGGAAGCGGCAGGAGGGAAGGCTTAAAGACCAGGAGGTCCCTAGAAACGATGGGGCTTGGAGTGGGGCATGAATTGAAAGGATATGGAAGGGAAGAGACCCCGAGAGTATAAAAGGAGACTGATACCAACAGAGGATTGCAGAGGAGAGGAAGGAAGCAGATGAGGATAATGAAGGGGAATCCTGGGGGAGGTACCAGAATGTCTCTAGCCTGAACCTTCCTGTTTTTGGACATTAGGGCAGCCCAGAATCTGACTGATACAGGTGAACCAAAAGGAAGGTGTTAATGATTAGAATGGTTTGGAGTTACTTTGTTGGTTTAATTAATAAAGACTGTGTTAAAAAAAAGCTTTGACTCCTGCCTTTGACCTACGGGACCCTTTGACACTCTCCTTCCTTTGGAATATTTGGGGGCACAAATAGTGCAACGATATTTTAACTTCTCGTTCTTTTGCCCACAAGTTAAAACAGACTAACACGGCTACTTATGTGGAAATTGCTAAATTGGATTTAGCCAAATGGAACTCTCTGAAGGTGTCTGAGGAAGTCGATTTTGATCCACAAAAGCATATACTAAAATCAACCTGTTCGTCCATATAGCATTTTGCCTCTTTTTTTTTCTCCTTCTGACAGCATGCAGAGGCAGACTAACATGGCTACATCTTTAGAAATTGCTTAAAAGAAAGCTCAGTTCAAAAAATGTTATGACATCTGTATTTCATGAAAGAAGGATTTGCATTTTCTCTTTGTAGGAATCTGTTGTGAACTTTTCTCTTTAATTTAGGTAATGCACATTCGTAAGCTGCTTCAAAAAATGGACCGCCCTAATGGGCTTTATCCAAACTACTTGAATCCGAGGACTGGACGGTGGGGGCAGCGTGAGTATTACCTTCGCAGTTGCAATAGATATGACGTTGGGTCGTTCCTTGAAAATCTAGTCAAATGTTGCAGTAAAATCATGGTTTACTAGTCATGGGCAGGCTTTGTGTTTGCATGCTTCCTCCTCTTCCTTGACATGCTTTCCTTGCCTCTTTCACTTTTGATTGATGGCAATTAGTTTAACATGCTGCTCAAATTTTGTGTCTTCTTATCTCAAATTACAGTATAGTTTATCTTTAAAGCAGACTTGAAAGCCCAACTTCAACTACGGTTTCCCATTTAAGTTTGGGAGCAAACTGTACTTTTAGGTAGCAGTACTATCATTGTTCACCAGCAGAACGTTCTCATGAACAATGAAGTAAGGGAAGACACTGGAGAATACAGGGAAGTGGGAGAGGAAGCATATTCCATTCCTAATGGCTGAGCTACATTTTGGGAGTGACATTTGAATTGTGCTACAGAGGATCATCAATACTGAGGCCTTTCCATTTGATGATAAAGAAAGCTGAAATTTAATACAAGTCTCATCTACAACTCATTACTAGTATTGTCCGAAAGTGGAACTCCTCTGTATCCCTTCCTGAAAATGGCAGTACTGAAATGTACTTAAAAATAATTATTTTTCTCCAGTAAAAGCCATGATACTTTTATACAGGAGAGACTACTAGGAGATCCAGAAAATGAGCCTTCATTACATTTTCCTTGTGTGAGGGAGGGTCCAGTCTGGAATGACTAGCAGCTGAGGTGTAACACTTTAATCACATAAAGATTTGTGAATATCCTCCTACCTGTATTTAAGTGATCAGTGAGTACAATGCATATTTTATAACAGAAAATGTTTGGGATTTTTAAAGTGGCTAGGCTGGGGAGAAGTGTTCTCTCAATCTCTTTCCTTGATGTGATATTTCTGCCTTGTTGATTGAGTATTGAGATGGCAGATAAAGAAGTGAAGAGTCAAAGTAGAAACACATAAGATCTCACCTGCCCTCCCCAGATTGTTTATCAGGACTTCAAAGATCTTGTGAAGAGGAAATAGCTGGATTGCTGGCTGATTCTGCAGAAAATTCAGAGATTTATGGTGAAGATAAGCAAAAGGAGAGATCTCCAGAATTTGCTGAGGTGCAGGGGAAAAGAGTTAGTTTGAATAAAGAGGAAGAGAGAGAAGTGGAATAGAGAAAGAGGATACATTACTAGCAGAATTTAAGAAAATAATGGGGGGGGGATTCCCAAGATCTTAAAAGTGAATTGGATAAAACAAAATAGAAATTGGGGGGAGGAACCCAGTTAAACAGAATTGGAACCATCAGATAAAACATGGTGAAAACAATGACAAAAGTAAAAGCAGAATTACATAAAACAGTATCATTTAAAGATCAAATGAAAACTCTGGGCTCAAAAATGAAGAAAATCAATGAGATGATTAAAGCCAATGCTGGAAATTTATACTGCCATGAAGTCAAATTTACTGAAATTGATTTAAAAATTGATTGATTTGGAAAATAGAGGATGGAGGGAAAATGTTAAATTTTCTTGGTTCCCACGAGGCAGTGCTGAAAATGGAATAAACCTTAGAGACGTGGTATTAGAATGGGTTAAGGTGGTGGCACCAAATTAGGGGTGGGTTCAAGAAGATTTGGAGAAATTGCACCAAGTGGGATTCGGGGGGGGGGATATGACTCCCACAGATATCATTGTTAGGTTTTAAATTTTTACAAGAAAGAATTGTTTCTGAAAGTGGCCAGGGAAAGGTCTGGATAGTTGCTGTATAAAGATGCCCTGCTCCAGGTATATCAGGATCTTTTTTTACCAGACGGTGTCCTGGTGAAGTAATATGAAGTTAGTCACCGCTGAGCTTGCAAATAATAAAATAAGATACAATTGGAGGAATCCAGCATACTTGAGAATTTTATATGCTAGAAAATACTACAGGGTAATAGTGTTGGATCAAGGTGTCAATTTGGTCCATGAGTAGGGTTTGATGGCAGATTAACAATGGAAGTAAGAGAGGGCAAAACTGGACAATCAGAAGCAAGATCATTTCGCTACTTCTGTGGGAGAGATTCAAGAAGATGAAGGTAGTCGGATTGATCCATTCCTTAATAAACCAAGATGCTTAGATATTTACATCAATATTAGAAGAGAAAATGAATTAATTCTATTGCTAAATATATCAAAGAAGATCAAAGTGGTTTCATGATAGGAAGACAAATTTGACTAGGTTAAATGTAATAAATTTAATAAAGAAAACTGAAGAAGAAGGCAGGAATAATTTTGTTAGATATTTTCAAGGCATTTGATTTTGTAGAATGACCAACATTAAAAATTATAATAAAAATACTAGGTTTTGAGGAAGGATTTAAACATACAGTAGAACAATTCAGAGAATACTGGAACAACAGAATAGATATCCCTAGTACAGTGGTGCCTCACACAACGATGTTAATTGGTTCCAAAAAAATCAACATTGTGTGAAACATCGTTCTGTGAAACACCATTTCTCATAGGAATGCATTGAAAACCGGTTAATCCGTTCCAATTGGAACGGATTGCCATCGCTGAGTGAAAATCCCCATAGGAAACATCGCTGTGTGAAACAATGTTTCCTTCATTGGAATGTATTGAAGCCGACTCAATACATTCCAATGGCTTTGCGAAGTCCTTTTTCGCTCCTGTAAAAGTGTCTTACAATGTTTGGAAGCTGTTTTAAATGATTGCAATGGTTAGTCCACCTCCTGAAACCTATGCAAACTGATTTTGGTGTTGTTCTGACACTTCGTTAATTTATGATGATTTTTTGAATTTTCTCCATTGGAAACCATTGGATGGTCTGTCTAATGGTTTCCAATGGAAAAAACAAAAAATCATCATAAATTAACGAAGTGTCAGAACAACACCAAAATCAGTTTGCATAGGTTTCAGGAGGTGGACTAACCATTGCAATCATTTAAAACAGCTTCCAAACATTGTAAGACACTTTTACAGGAGCGAAAAGGGAGATCGTTGTGTGAAAATCCCCCATAGGAAACATCGCTGTGTGAGGCAGCAAATTTGACAGAAAAAGGCATCGTTGTGTGAATTCATCGTCGTGTGAGGCACTCGTTGTGCGAGGCACCACTGTACATGGTTCTAGACAAGGATGTCCCCTTTCTCTGGTATTGGTTGCTTTAGTAATAGAATGGCTAATGAATTAGAGAAGATGAATTATTTTGTGGTTTTAGTACTAAAGATAAAATTAGTTGCTAATAACACTTTATTAATAATAGAAAGCATATTAAAAGTAATGAATAGGATAAACTGTACTTAAAGGAATTTGGAGAAATAACAGGGTTGCAGATAAATTTGCATAAATCAACGACTACTATTTACTTATAATAAAGATTAAAAAGGAATAGTTAGAAAAGAATTTTATATTCATATCTGAAAGTCTGTTAAGTATTTATAAATATTCCACTGAATTGAGAAAGATTGAAAGAGAAGAATTTTAAACAATAAAAGCAAGAAATAAAAAAAATAAGGTAGATGATTTTAGGAAAATTGGATTTTCATAGTTTTGTACAATAGCAGTATTTAAAATGAAAGTTTTACCTATTTTTTAAATTTATGATGTTACTGAGAAAGATAACTTAATTTAAACCAGTTAAAAGACTGGCAACATATGATTAATACATTTTGTAATTGAGATGAAAATAAAGAATTAACAAGGGGAGGTGATACAAATCTCAAAAAGCAGGAGGGCTGGGACTTCCTAATAATTTCTGCACAGTGCCTTCCGCCGGTAGAGCCAGCCTCTGTAGCTTTGGGCAAGTTGCACATTCCCAAGGTGCTCCTGCAAGAAGGGAATATTAAACCACTTCTGTGATTAATACATTTTGTAATTGAGATGAAAATAAAGAATTAACAAGGGGAGGTGATACAAATCTCAAAAAGCAGGAGGGCTGGGACTTCCTAATAATTTCTGCACAGTGCCTTCCGCCGGTAGAGCCAGCCTCTGTAGCTTTGGGCAAGTTGCACATTCCCAAGGTGCTCCTGCAAGAAGGGAATATTAAACCACTTCTGAGCAATGTACCCTCTAACTTTCAGCTCCGCTGAGTGGCGCACCTCACCTCTCTCACGCGACTTTGTCCCTGCACACGCAACTCCGCCCCCATGCAGGGTTGCGTTGCAACTGGAATCTAATGTGATTGCTGCGCAGAGAGAAGCAGAGGCGCACGTGTGCATTCTCCCAGCTTAGAGAAAACCTTGTTTCTGAGTCCTCTTTACCTAGAAAACTCTGAAAAGGGGTGCTGCAAGTCAGAATTGACTTGATGACACATGATTATTAAATACATTTCACTGTCAAATTGCCACTACTTAAAAAGTGAGTGTAGATGTTTGTTGATACCCATCAAGTCATGCCAAATCCCTAGCCTGACTTCTTAACTATCGGCAGTTCACCACTGAAATTTACAGGGATGGATTTAAACTGGTGGGCTTTAAGGTCAATAAATCAAATACTTAAACTACTTCTTGGAAACAAGTTAGAAGAAAATGAGAACTTGAAGGAGAAGCCCAACCCTATTAAATATGTGGCTGGCATGGATTATAGCACTATATTTTTTTGTACTTGTTTTTACAAACTATCTGCGGACCGGGGCTTTTGGGGACCTGTGCTTTAAAGCAATGGTTCCCAACCTTGGGTAACCCAGGTTGGACTGCAACCAACCATAATCTTGGACTGCAGTTCCTAGAAGCCTTCACCACTGGTCATGGTGGCCAATCCTCCCGCTTAAACAATTCAAATATTGAATTTTTCTCCCTGAATAAACCCTCTGCTGCTGACCTCTTTTTCAGGGTAGCCAAGTACATTGTTTTGGTCTTGATTGATGCCTTTGATACTGCTGTAGAAATGTGAGGATCCCCAGATTGAACACAAACCACTAGCCAGGCATTGTGGGCTAGTAGGAGCTGGATAACAATTGCCCATCCTCTCTACTGCAGCTGTGTTTGCAGTCTTATGCCG